CACCAGTTTGCCAGCCAGCCAGCCAAAAACCAGCCAGCCGAGATCAGCCAGCCAGCCAGCACATTTGCCAGCCAGCCAGCCAGCCAGCCAGCCAGCCAGCCAGCCAGCCACCAGCGCAGCCAGCGCCAGCCAGCAATTTAAGCCCTCAGGCCAGCAGCCAGTCAGCAGGGGCCAGCCTGGCCACAGTTCCAAAAAACCACGCCATTCCTAGCAATAGCACAGCCAGCCTTCCGCCGCCATACCAGCCAAACAGCCAGCAATGCCAGCCACCAGCCAGCAACAGCATGCCACCACTGATGCCAGCCACAGCCAGCCAGCAGACATGCAGCCAGACCAGCCATTAGCATACAGTTTCAGCAGCAGCCAAAACCAGCCAGCATCCAGCAGCCAGCCAGCATCCAGCCAGCCAGAGCAGCCCGCAGCCAGCCTGCCAGCCAGCCAACAGCCAGCCAGCCAACGCCAAGGGCCAGCCAGCCACCAGCCAGCCAGCCAGCCAGCCAGCCAGCCAGCAGCCAGCAGCAGCCACCAGCCAGCCAGCCAGCCAGCCAGCCAGCCAGCCAGCCAGCCCAGCCAGCCCCGCCAGCCAGCCAGCCCGCCAGCCAGCCCGCCAGCCAGCCAGCCAGCCAGCCCGCAGCCAGCCCAGCCAGGCCAGCCCGCCAGCCAGCCAGCCAGCCAGCCAGCCGCCAGCCAGCCCGCCAGCCAGGCCAGCCCCCAGCCAGCCAGCCAGCCAGCCAGCCAGCAGCCAGCCAGCCCCGGCGCCAGCCAGCCATCCAGCAGCCAGCCGCCAGCACCAGCCAGCCCGCCCGCCAGCCCGCCAGCCAGCCAGCCAGCCAGCCAGCCAGCCACCAGCCAGCCAGCCAGCCAGCCAGCCCGCCAGCCCGCCAGCAGCCAGCCAGCCACCAGCCGCCACCAGCAGCCAGCCCAGCCAGGGGCCAGCAGGGCCCCCAGCCACCAGCAGGGCCCGACCCGGCCCAAGCAGCCACCAGGCCCAGGAAGAAGAGAAGGAGCACCTGCCCGTCAGATGATGGAACCAGAGTCAGTAGGGCCCAAGAAGGCACCAACACCTTAATTGGGGAAAAACCACATGGCCCTGTGTTTAAAAAATAGGGAAAAAACCATGAAGTGAAGGAGATGATAGAAAAAATGAAGGGGGCTTTGTGTGGGGGAGCTTGCCAGGTGTATGGAAAAAAAAATCAACTTACTTTACTGGTGAAAAGAACCAAGGAAGCTGAGTTGCAAAAGGGTGTTGCATTTATCCAAAAATGACACAAACTTCAAAGGGGTTGAAAAGTTGTTGGTGGTGTGGTAACAATAAACAGTAGGGGTGATGGGTTTTTCAGGTCAATCATTTGTGAGAAGCAAGGCAGTTGATCCCCAATCGATAAAGAAAATGCCTGAACCCAGTGCTGGTTAGTGAATTTAACCCTTTCAGGGCCCAGAGGCCAAAATTCAAAGGGTGATTGTGCCCAAAGAATTTTCAAAAAATAATTCTTTTTTTTTTCTTATAAATAGAAAATTTTTTCGAAGGTAATAAAACAAAAAGTCAAAATTTGAGGGAAATTGACGAAATTATCTCTCGCGAATTTTGATGTGTCGCAATATTTACCATAGCATTTTGCTGACTTTGACTCCCATTTTAGGCTAATTACATTTTCCAGTCGACCAAAATTCTAGCTATTTCATAGTATTACTTCTATTTAAAACTGAGCACAAGAATTTGCCAAAGTCAACTGTTTAAAATAAAAAATAAAGTGATCAGAATTTGGTAATTTGGCCAATTTAATGCAAAGTTCAAAATACTCCAATTTCAAAATAGGGTCCAGAATAAACAATGCAGGCATTCCTGGCATTAAACTAACATTTCCTCTGTTCATTAGTAATGTTTTCAGGCTTTACTAATAAATTCCATTTTGATTTTTTATTCACATAATGAATTTTTATTCAAACCAAAAAATAGAAGAGTTACTGTTATGAAATATTGTAATAATTGTATAAATAATATCAGCACATTTGTGAACATATATTAGACCCACCAGCAGGCGTGTATTAGACGTGTGAGGTCATTTGTTTACTTTTGAACATCGGCAAAAATTTAACATCTCCACTACTTTGAGCTCAGTTTCAAGCCATTTCCAGTACTAAAACCAATCAAAATTGTCTCTATTTCTGTAAAATGTCTTCCATTCTATCAAATGAGACCAAGAAATCACAAATACAACTATAAAAAAACATACAAAATAACAGTGCAAAGTCACTGTTTTAATAAAAAATTACTGTCTCATTTTTTTCTCTCATTATGCAATTGTGCTGCAGGATTTGTTTTGTGGTGCACACATACCACATAGATGTATTTTCTCATATCAAGGCCAAAATTTACCGCTCACAGCTTATCAGAGTGAGCTGAGCTCATGACGTAGATCTACGGTTTGGACCCTCAACATAAAGCCGTAGATTTACGGCACGGACCCTCAAAGGGTTAAGGCCAACAGAGGCTGGTTTGACAGATTTAAGAAGAGTAGTGACATACATAGTGTGGTACGGCATGGGGAGGCAGCAAGTTCAGACAAATATGTGGCTGAAAACTTCGTTAGTGAATTTAAGGGGTACATAGAGACTGAAAAATTCCAACCCCAACAAGTGTTCAATTGTGACGAAACAGGCCTATTTTGGAAGAAAATGCCAAAGAGGACCTACATTACTCAGGAGGAAAAGGCACTGCCAGGACACAAGCCTATGAAAAACAGGCTTACTCTTTTGTTCAGTGTTAACACTAGTGGTGATTTTAAAGTGAAGCCTTTACTTGTGTATCACTCAGAAAATCCCAGTGTTTTTAAGAAAAATAATGCCATCAAGAAAAAATTGTATGTCTTGTGGAAAGCGAATAATAAGGCATTGGTCACGAGGCAAATTTTCAAAGAGTGGGTCCTTGAAGTGTTTGGCCCCAGTGTGAAAAAATACCTCCTGGAAAATAATTTGCCACTCAAGTGCCTCCTGGTAATGGACAATGCTCCTGCTCATCCTACAAACTTGGAAGACCTATTGTCTAAGGACTTCAGTTTTAAAACAGTTAAGTTTTTGCCTCCTAACACCACTCCTCTCCTCCAGCCCATGGACCAGCAGGTCATTTCTAACTTCAAAAAACTCTACACCAAAGCAGTGTTTGAAAGGTGCTTTGAAGTGACTTCAGACACTCGGTTGACCCTAAGAGAGTTCTGGAGGAAGCATTTCAGTATTCTCCATCACATAAACCTTATAGGTCAGGCTTGGGAGGGAGTGATTTCCAGGACTTTAAACTCTGCTGGAGACAATTGTGGGCACAATGTGTCATCCAGAGGAATTTTGAAGGCTTTGAAGCTGACACTGACCCTGACATCCCTCTGCCTATTGTGGAAGGTATTGTGGCATTGGGCAAGTCCATGGGGCTGGAGGTGAGTGGAGAGGATGTGGAAGAGTTGGTGGAGGACCACAGGGAAGAGCTAACCACTGACAAACTGCAAGAGCTTCAACTGGAACAGCATCAGACCACAGCTCAGGAACTTGCTTCAGAGGAGGAAGAGAGTGTGAAGGTGGTGCCTTCTTTAGTGATTAAGGACATGTGTGCAAAGTGGAATGAGTTGCAAAGTTTTGTTGAAAAGTATCACCCTGACCAAGCTGAAACAAGCTATATCTGCAATATGTTCAGTGACAAAACCTTGTCCCACTTCAGGGAAATCTTAGAGATGCCAGAAACAGAGCACTCTTGACAGTTATTTGTGAGACAGAGGTCCAGTAACTCTCAAGCTGGTCCTAGTGGCCTTAAAAGACAAAGAAGGAAGGTAACCCCAGATAAGGACTTGTTACCTAAAGTCTTTATGGAAGGGGATTCCCTTCCAAACAATAAGTTCTCCCTCTTTCCTCCTCCCTTTTTTCCAGATGCCAGCAAATCTCTTCAATAAAGGTAAATAAATGTTATTTTAAACATTTATTTCAAATTTAATTTATCTATATACATATATGTATTTATCTGTGTTGTATGTAAAACTATAGTTATTATTTAAAAAATGTATTTTTTTAAGAATAATTTTTATGGGTCTGGAACAGATTAATTTTATTTACATTATTTCTTATGGGAAATACTGTTTCGCCTTTCGGCCTTTCCTCGTTTGGCCTAACTACTGAAACGGATTACGGCCGAAACCCAGGGTTTCACAGTATATGCTTCCAAACTGTTGTATCTGGGTGCCTCCGCAAAGACAGTGATTGAATGATGATGAAAGCATTTTCTTTCTTTTTGGGTCACCCTGCCTCGGTGGGAGACGGCCGACTTGTTGAAAAAAAAAAAAACTATAGTTTTACATACAGACTAGGGCATACGAAAACCGAGGTTCCACTGTACTCCTTAAGAACTGCCCCAAAGTAGTTATTTTAACCCAAACACAGAGTCAGCAGTAGTTCTTATAATGCATTGTGTTGAGGCAGGTTTTTATATTAAGCACACCCACCACACAGCCCCATTCTCTCATGTCTAGGCCAAAATTTTTTGGTCACAGCCAACTTGAGGGTGTTATGAATTCTATTCTAGTATGCCATGGATGCTGTTAGCTATGAAGTGTTAGTATGTGATGGACAGCTTAACGATTAAATGTTGTCAGCACTATGCCCTTCAGATCCTCCCCTTTTTTATTTATAGAATATGCCACAGCCAAGAGAATAACAGCTATTTAAAAAACAAAAGTTCAACAGAAGCTGCTTGGAAAATGAAGCTCAATTTTAATACTACTCTAGTACAGTACATAAGTTTACTTTCAATGAGATATACTCAATATCCTTCCTATTCCCTTACTCATCATAATTTTACATATTTACCATTCTTTTACTTCTCCACACTGTGTCTACCTCTTTAAACAATATGTAAGTGTATATATATCTCTACAGTACTATCAACAATGAAAACAGAGTATAAAACACTTAGCAAACATTAATATTATAACATTTTGATATGTATTTTTGAAAATTCTCACCTCCCTGTGTACATGTGGTAGCATTTTCTGGCATTGGAAGTGTTTTCATCAACTTCAAAGCTTTCGATGCAGCATTATGCTTAGCTTGCTGGGCCGTAGTTCCTTCACCAATAAACTCACGGGTGCCAACTCTTAATGTTACAAAGAATATTGGATAAAGTGGCGGTCGGCCATAGCACTTCTGTTGATAAAAAAAAAAATGCATGAAAATTACTGCACAATAAATCATATAAGTGATTTACTCAAATTATTTGAAGTACAATTTAACTAGTAACATATATTCAAATGCAAAAGTTCTCCTGTCACTTGCTTAACACAAGCTATTTGTTCTCAGAAAAGGCCGTGTTATGTGAATCAATTTTGTTTGAACCCAGTTTTACAAAGAAAAATTATAGTTAGATTTCAGACCCATTCATGCCCAGTATTTCCAAACCTCTCATAAATGATGAAAAAGACTTGTGCAACAGGTGGCTATCTTTACTGGAGAGAACCTGTCAGTATTGAATACTTTTGATCTAATAGTACTTGTCTGACACAGCAACACCATGGAATCTTGGTACAAAGGATGTCTTCTACAACTCTACTACTAAGCTGTGGCCCTCGTTATGGGCATGTCCTACTTCCATTAGTAGGTCCTGCCCATCTGTGACCAACAGTTACAGTGCTGTAACTCTTCCATTGGCTCCAATATAAATGCTTTCACTATTGTGTCCCGGTATTCATTCAAGAAAGTCTGCTGCAGAGGAAAAAAGTCTCTCCATTTAACTGATGCCTAAGTGTTGTGCATGTGTCTTACTGATCAACTTGTCAGTACTGTATACCTCTGATCTAACAATATCCTCAACAATGCAATGGTGGTAGGGTGACTCAAACACAGAAACACTTTCACCATCACTCATTCAAACAGTTTTTCCAGAAGTGCAAAGAAATCATAATAAAAATGAACATATATTATCTGAACAAAACCAATTTTAAGAAATTAAATTACAAGAGAAAACACATTTTGTTAGCCAATTCAAAATGGTACTAGAGTATACTACATACTCACCCACAACTAAATAAATACTGAATAATTGTATCTCATAAATGTTCAACCTGTGACCCAATCAAACTTTGTTATTTTTAATTACATTACCTAACAGAATACTCCATTCTACTGAATGCTCAGCAACACAGTAAATGACCATATGACCTGTCTATGTAATATTCATTTGTGCTTCATTGTTATTTGTTTACAATAATGTTTACCACTGAATATATCATTGCTTAGTTAGTCTTAAGTTAATTTTAAGCCTGCCCATAATGCTCTGCATACAAGGGGCTTTGACATGTTACACTTAACCACTGTATTTCTTTGTACTTCTATGTATCATGTTCACATAAATAAATAAATAAATAAATAAATAATTAAATAAATAAATATTCTCAGTCATTATTTAGACTTTTTTCCCTAACAAGAATTGTCCAAAATATGCTCTTGACTTATAGTTAAGATACAAACAAATGTTTGTAAAATAGGTGTAAATAATGCACATATGCAACAGTTAGGTATCTTTATTTCGAAACGTTTCGCCTACACAGTAGGCTTCTTCAGTCGAGTACAGAAAAGTTGATAGAAGCAGAAGAGACTTGAAGACGATGTAATCAGTCCATCACCCTTGAAGTTTTGAGGTGGTCAGTCCCCCAGTCTGGAGAAGAGTATTGTTCCATAGTCTGAAACGATATGGAGTTGAAGTGATAGGATGGAGCCTTATATAGCGCCAGTAGGTGAGACATAGGTCACTAGTAGAGGTAGGAACGTAGACGTTGGGAGGTCAGGTCCCTCTCAAATCCAGCCATTCTCACTAGTAGAGGTTGTCAAAGTTGATTTCAGGTCTGTACCAAGATACCCTTGTGTTGCAGTGTCTGACAGAGTGAACATTAAAATGGTATAAAACACCATTTTAATGTTGCATATGTGTCTTAACTAACAACCTGTCGGTATTTTATACCATTTTAACGTTCACTCTGTCAGACACTGCAACACAAGGGTATCTTGGTACAGACCTGAAATCAACTTCGACAACCTCTACTAGTGAGAATGGCTGGATTTGAGAGGGACCTGACCTCCCAACGTCTACGTTCCTACCTCTACTAGTGACCTATGTCTCACCTACTGGCGCTATATAAGGCTCCATCCTATCACTTCAACTCCATATCGTTTCAGACTATGGAACAATACTCTTCTCCAGACTGGGGGACTGACCACCTCAAAACTTCAAGGGTGATGGACTGATTACATCGTCTTCAAGTCTCTTCTGCTTCTATCAACTTTTCTGTACTCGACTGAAGAAGCCTACTGTGTAGGCGAAACGTTTCGAAATAAAGATACCTAACTGTTGCATATGTGTCTTACCTAACAACCTGTCGGTATTTTATACCATTTTAATGTTCAGGTGTAAATAATGCTGAAATAAGAAAAAGTTCAGGGGTGAGATAAGTAAGTTGAGAAAGCCTTGAAAACAAATGAATTTAATAGTTAAAACGAGAAAGAAAAAACAAAAGAGGTGAGGCATTAGATGGGGAGGTGGAGGTACTGGGAAGATAGAGGGAATATTCTGAGGAATTACTGAATGTTGAAGAGGGAGGCAGTGATTTCTTGCACTGAGCAGGAAGGTATAACACCTTTAAAAGAACCAAACCTGGGAAAGAAGCACAAGGCAGTGGGTAGAATGAAAGGTTATAAAGCAGCTGGGATTAAAGACAGTAATGTTAAAGCAAGTGGGGATATTGTATTGGGGTGGTTGGTGCTTTTATTCAGTAAATGAATGAAAGGGGAAAAGGTACCTAAGGACTGGCAGAGAACAATCATAGTTTATTTGTATAAGGAAGAAGGAAATATAAAGGAGTGTAAAAATTATAGAAAAAAAAAGCCAGTTGGGTAAAACAGGTAAAGTGTACGGTAGAACAGTTACTGAAAGAATTATGGCTAAGAGAGAGTAGGAATGCAGATGAACAAGGTGGTGTCAGGAAGGGTATGGGATGTGTAGACCAAGTGTTTACACTGAAGTAGAGTAGGGCCCCGCTTTACAGCTTTTCGTCTCACGGCGTTCTGCTAATATGGCGATTTCAAATTATGACCAAAATCCTCTATATGGCTCCTCATCTTTCTAATACAGCATGCCCCAACCAGTTTGTTTACATTCTCCATGAGCACATCATTCTATTATGACTGGAAACTTTCCAAAATTTCAGGTGTTTTAAAGTTACTGCATATTACGTTTTTTTTTTTCAACAAGTTGGCCGTCTCCCACCGAGGCAAGGTGACCCAAAAAGAAAGAAAATGCCCAAAAAGAAAATACTTTCACCTCACTCAAACATAATCACTGTCTTTGCAGAGGTGCTCAGATACGACAGTTTAAAAGTTCCTCCAAACTGTCAATATTTCAAACCCCTCCTTTGAAGTACAGGCATTGTACGTGCTTCCTATTTCCAGGACTCAAGTCCGGCCATCTCCCACCGAGGCAGGGTGACCCAAAAAGAAAGAAAATCCCTAAAAAGAAAATACTTTCATCATCATTCAACACTTTCACCTCACCCACACATAATCACTGTTTTTGCAGAGGTGCTCAGAATACAACAGTTTAAAAGTATATACGTATAAAGATCCACAACATGTCCCTCCCAACTACCAATGTCCCAAAACCCCTCCTTTAAAGTGCAGGCATTGTACTTCACATTTCCGGCTTCCCTGAATCCCTTCACTAAATTACCCTGCTCACACTCCAACAGCTCGTCAGGTCCCAAATACCATTCGTCTCTATTCACTCCTATCTAACATGTTCACGCACGCTTACTGGAAGTCCAAGTCCCTCACCCACACAACCTCCTTTACCCCCTCCCTCCAACCCTTTCGAGGACGACCCCTACCCTGCCTTCCTTCCCCTACAGATTTATACGCTCTCCATGTCATTCTACTTTGATCCATTCTCTCTAAATGACCAAACCACCTCAACAACCCCTCTTCAGCCCTTTAACTAATACTTTTATTAACTCCACACCTTCTCCTAATTTCCACACTCCAAATTTTCTGCATAATATTTACACCACACATTGCCCTTAGTCAGGACATCTCCACTGCCTCCAACCGCCTCCTTGCTGCAGCATTTACAACCCAGGCTTCACACCCATATAAGAGTGTTGGTACCACTATACTTTCATACATTCCCTTCTTTGCCTCCACAGATAATGTTCTTTGTCTCCACATATACCTCAAAGCACCACTCACCTTTTTTCCCTCATCAAATCTATTATTAACCTCATCCTTCATCAATCCATCCACTGATATATCAACTCCCAAATATCTGAAAACACTCACTTCTTCCATACTCCTCTTCCCCCATTTGATATCCAATTTTTCTTTATCTAAATCATTTGATATCCTCACCATCTTATTCTTTTCTATATTCACTTTCAACTTTCCACCTTTACACACACTCCCAAATTCGTCCACTAACCTCTGCACTAACCATGAATCACCCATAAGCACAGTATCATCAGCAAAATGTAACTGTGTCACTTCCCATTTTGTATTTGATTCCCCATAATTTAACCCTTTGAGGGTTGACAGGCCCTCACCGAGACTCGTTCTCAGGGTCGGCCAAATTTAAAAAAAAAAAAAAAAAATTCTTATGAAAAGATAGAGAATCTTTTCCCGATCATAATGATACCAAAAATATAAAATTTGATGGAAAACTTACGGAATTATGCTGTCGCGAAGTTAGCAGTCTCGGCGATGTTTACGCATCGGCAATTTTGCCCACTTTGAGCCCCATTTTCGGCCTGTTCCACTGTACTAGTCAACAAAAAGCATGAATATTTCGCTAGAACTCCATTTTTTCTATCGAACGAGTGCAAGAAACCACCCATTTACCAATTTCAACTATCCAGTACAGTGGTCAGAATTTAGCAATTTTGCCAATTTCACACAAATTTCAAAAGATGCCAATTTCCGAATAGGGTCCAGAACAAACAAGAAATACATTCCTGGCACTAAAATGACATTTCCTCTGTTCACTAGTCACGTCTCAAGGCCCCTCTTACATTCTTTTGCTTTCCACTTTCAGTTTTTATTCTCACAAAAAACAGAAGATTTACTGTTATGCAGACTACTGCATTAGTGTAAAAAATGGTATGAATTAT